TCCACCGAGCAAGGCAGCAGCAGCGATAACGGAAAGCAGGAGCAATACCATAGATAAGCATCAACAACTAAAGCACATCAGCATCCTGCAACAAGACAGGCATAACGCACCGCATGTACACTACCCCTACCAACAAGCGCAAACGCAAACTGAAACAAACCAACAACATGCACATCCGTAGCCTGTTTTGCGCTCAAGCTCCTCAGCTTGGAATTGCGGGCTGCAGTCGAAGTCCCGATGCCATCGAAGCTTGAGCTGGAGTTGTACAGCCTCTTTGCCAAAGGGGTTCTCTCAGGGGCGGCCGTGCAGAAGCTGGCCTCAGCAGCGTGGGAGGACGGCTGGGGCTGGAAAGGCGCCGCTGTGGCGTGCCGTTTGAGGGATGCATCCAACCTGCAGGATTGTCTCACGGCGGTCAGCTTCTCTTTCCAGCTTGGGCACTGGGGCCCGTTGGGGTCAGCGGATGCCCTGCGATCAGCTGGCACAGACGGCCGTTGGCAATCAAACATCCAGAGGGACATCCTGGCGGCTGCCGAGAGATTCGGTATCGTGGATTCTCTACCCAAAGAATATTATGCAGACACTCGGGGCCCTGATAACACGGTTGTCAAGCACGCTTTTTTTCTGCCGCACGAGACAGTCCATCACTACAGGACAAGCTTCCAGGAAGCAGCTCTCACGGAGGAGCAGATTGGAAGCACGCCAGTGGGCAGGTTGATCCAGAGCTGGTGCGCGCACCCAGACGTCGGCGTCGCGCCCCATCTGGCGACCTCGGTGTCGCCGCTCGGGTTGCATGGTGATGGAGTTCAGTACACGACGACCATGAGGGCAGGTGGGGCAAAGTCCGTGACTGCAGTGTCATTCAACCTGCTCGCTGGATCGGCTGCCATTAGAAAGAAGCGTTTTATGATTTGCGTGCTGGCCAAGGAAGGAGGGATTCAAGAAACGAATGCGCATGTGTGTTCCCCGTGTATCGGGGATTCTCCTTCTCTTCCTCCTCCTCCTCCTCCTCCTCCTCCTCCTTCTCCCCTCTCATCATCATCATCATCAGCAGCAGCATCATCATCATCAGCATCACCATCATCACCACCAGCATCATCATCAGCATCATCATCAACAGCAACATCATCAGCGTCAACATCAGCATCAGCATCATCATCATCACCATCATCATACTCTACCTCTTCCTCCACCTCCTCCATTAAATCCGTCCCCCCGTTCCCCCCTCAAGCGAAGTGTCATATGCGTATTTGTTTCGCGAAACACTTCTTTGTAGGACTCGATGTGCGCGTGCGGTTGTGAAGGTTTTCACACGCTGCAAGACGTGTTCTCTGTCGTCGCTTGGTCGATGCAGCACCTCAGGGGGCGTGGGGCCCCCGATCGACGCCATGACGGCCAGCCTTGGAGTGCTTGGGACGCTCGACACCGACTGGCGCCAACTACTGAATTGCCTCTTGCTGGGATCGTGCAGATTCGTGGCGATTGGGATTGGATGTCCTAAGCATACCGCTTTCGACGGCCAGGTCAAGAATGTTTTTGTTGGAAATGCAACGTTACCAAAGAGCAATACAGGCGAGAATTCCGCAGGGATGCTCCGCACAGGAGCGAGCTTCGTACTCATCAGAGTTTCATGATGGAGGTGGCAGCTGGGGGTTTGGAGCTGAGCACCATCTTCAGGTGCCCTGGATTGCTACTGGATCACTTTGCCGTGGATCAGATGCACGCGGGCGAACTGGGGCCCCTCCTGGACGCGATAGGCTCGCTGTTCTGGGTGGAGATAAGCAACAAACGGTGGCATCGGAATCAAAAGCTTGGTTTGAAGAGTATCAATCAGGACCTCAACGCTTACTTTCGCTCCAATCCCCGCCTGACCCCTATTGTTCTTAGTCTGTCACAAATCAGGTCCAAGAATTCACCGTACCCCGTGCTGAAAAGCAAGGCTTCCCAAGCCAAGCACTTGTGCAGATTCTGTCTGGCATTGGCCCATCGGCAGGCTGGCCACCAAGGCCGAGAGCCATTCGATTGGAGGAGGCCTGGCCATCGCTTGTATGGCCGCGGGCCCAGGTACTGTGAATTGATTGTGAGGTTGTTTTCTGCCGTCGTCGAATATTATACCGCTTGCGACAGCCCGAACTTCGACGCCCAAAGGTGCATTCAACCTATGTATGACTTTTTGCAGACCCTAGTTGATTTGAACGACCTTTGGTGCACGGGACTGCCCGCAGCCGAACACAAAAACATGCCTTTTCACTGTAGGCAGAAAATGCACCTGCTGCAGCATTTAGTCGAGGATCAGTTGAGTTTGTTCGGGCCGCCAAAGGATTTCTCTTGCTATTTAGATGAAGCGTTTATAGGAGTTCTGAAGCTCATTTGCGGGCGGTCGAAACACCCCAAGACGTTGGAAAACGTGGCGATGAGCAAGGTACGCTTGTCTGCAGGGGTCGAGGCCTCTCGAGATTGGGAGGACTGAGCCCGTGGAAAAATCGAAGCCCAGACATGCTTCGCAGAGCCTGATTTGGATGGAGTGCCGAGGGGCCCCTTCACAGGCAAAATCGTCTTGTTTCACCCTGCTCGCGCGCCGTCTGGCGCAAGGCTCCTGACCTGACCTGACCTGCCTTGGCCTCCAGGAGCACTTCGAAGAAGGCCCCAAGTGGAAAAATCAAAGGCCCCAAGACGGCCCAGGAGGCCCCCAAGACGGCTCCAAGAGGGTGCCCAGACGAGGGACCAAAACGGACATTTCGAGCCCTCGGCCCCGAGAGGCTCACAGGAGGAACCAAAAGGCCCCCAAGGAAGCACCCAAAAGTCAGAGGTCCTAAGAGGCCCCCAAGAGGCACCCAGGAAGCCCCGAGAGGCCCCCAAGAGGCCCCCAAGAGGCCCCCAAGAGGCCCCACGAAGCTCCCAAGAGGCCTTTACACTGCCCCCGAGAAGCACCCGAGAGCGCTTCGAAGAGACCCCAAGAAGCATCCATGAGGACTCTGACCCACGTCAGGCCTTCGCAATCGAATCCCGTCCTTCTCCCTACGCCTTCCTCTCTGCTTCTTGTTCCTCCTCCCTCCCCTTCCTTTCCCTCTCCGTCTCCTCCCCTAGCCACTTTTGCTCAAAAATGCGCCCAATGTTTCCCCTCATCTGTGGGCCTGAGAAAATGCACATGGAGGGGGCGCAGTAAACGCTTTCACATCAAAAGATAACCCTCGTCCGCCGTCAATCATTGTTTCCCTGAAAAGTAAACAATGATTGACGCCCGACCCTCAGGGCAGGGTGCGCGCTGACCAGAATGCCAGGGCGAACATCCGCCCGCGGCGACGAGGGCGGCCCCGAAAGTGACTACCTACCAGACCACCCCAACCCAACCCGAAGACCCGAATTTCGGGTTGGGGGGGTATGGGTTCCATACGTGTTTGTTCGATGTTCCCCACCCCCCCCCACTGGAAATGGAGGGCAAATTGAGGCCTTCGGGTTGGGTTGGGGTGGTTTGGTGGGTGGTGTGAGAACGGGGAGAGAACGACTCCCCCCCTCGCAGCCGCGCGCCTCGGCGAGCTCCGAGCGCAGCGCCGCGGCGGCCTCGGCGCCGCCGCGCTCGGCGGCGCGCAGCCGGCCGCACGCCTCCGCGAGCTCGGCGCGCGCGGCCTCGGCGGCCGCCGCGCCGCGCAACTCCGCGGCCCGCAGGCGGCCCCGCGCCGCCGCGGCCTCGCCGCCGGCGGCGCGGGCCGCCTCGGCCTCGGCGGCCTCCCCGCGCGCCGCGCGCTCGGCCGCGGCCGCGGCCTCGCGGAGCCGCTCCTCGTCGGGGGGGGGGGGGGCGCACGCGGAGCTGCCTCGCTTGTGACCATCCACGCCTCCGAGAGGTGCCGCGCTGGGCCCGTCTTCCACCACCCTCCACCAAAAATCGGGCGGGGGGAAGGGGGAGGAGGAGGACGAGGAGGACGAAGAGGAGGAGGAGGAGGAGGAGGAGGAGGACGAGGAGGACCCCCTCCCCCTCCAACTTATGGTGGTGGAGGTGGTGGAAAACAGGCCGATCATGCCAAGCGATGCCAGACTGCGGCCCGCACGGGTCAGGCCGCTCGCCGAGGAGGCCTCGAGGCATGACTCAGCTTTTTGCCTGGAAGCGAAGGCGGGGTAGGCAACTCGCGCTCTGACTCTTCCGGGGGAGCAGGCAATGGTTTGGGCTGTGGACTGCTGCAAGCCAGAAGAATCTAGCGGAGTTCTCGCTCCAGCGCCGCTCCTTGCGCGCTCCGCGCACCAGGGAGGGAGTTCCAGCGCCGATGTGAAAAATCCGCGTGGACGTGCGAAGCATGATGCTTATGTCATTGCTTGATCCCCGATCGTTCAGGGGCGGAGAGAAACAGCGGGGTCACCTGACCTCGCGCACCGCGCCCCGCGGTGCGCGATTTTATCCTTGCGCACTCGTGGTCCTCGCGCCGCCCCAAGTGGAGCCCGAATAAATGGGGTCCGAAGATGGTGCTGCATTGTCGATGCATCGGCGACGCGACTCGATTCAGAGCAATATTTTCCAGACCGGCCCCGCTGAGCCCCTCCTTTGTGTCCGGTCGGATAGCAGAGGGGGGGGGGCAGTGAAGTGGGGGCTAGCAAATCATACAGCTCACGTTGCTGATTTCTCTGCCGCCTCGAGGCGCCAGATGCACCTATGTGGCGAAGAAGGCGCACTGTGGCAGGGCCGACACCAGCTGCATGCACCTGACGTCGCCACGACCCCTTTCCATATCCTCCTTGTTCGTCCGACCCGACTCTGGAGGGTGGACAGAACTGTGGCACCCGCCTTCGTGCCCCGCGCCCCGCAACGCGAGACACATTCTCGCGCACTCGAACCCCTCGCTCGGTGCCAGGCCGCCAAAGTGGGGCCCAGAGCAGCTGGGATTGACAGTACGGCGCCGCACCGCCGATGCAGCGGCGACGAGGCTCGATCCGGAACCCGCTCCTTGCCTGCATCGCCAGTGCATGGGTGACGCATCGCCGATGCGGCGTGACCTCCTGTCCCCGCCTGCTCTGGCCGCCTGTAGGAGGCCTCTGGCGAAGACCACCCCTGCCCACGAGGCCCCTGAGTGAGCGCGCCAAGAGAGGGGCGGTCGATCGGGACGATGCTGCCTCGCTGGTCGCGCAGAGGCCTGGGTTATATGCTCTCCTGCCCTCGATCCTGGTCTTCCGATGCGGCGTGCCTTGCGGCCTTCAGCTCTGCCTGCATCCGGCGGCCGGCCTCCTTCATCTTCTGCACCTTCTGCCGCAGCTCGGCCACGTCCACGCGGAGCCCCTGGGACGTCACCCACAGCTGGCCCTTGATGTCCGGCTGGTTCAGCAGTGCTTCCACCGCGTGCTGCAGCGCAATCAGGGGGAGGAGCGTCTTCGAGGGCAGCTCCTTGCCCGTGGCTGGGGACGTTAGAGGCTTATCTTTCTTCTGCCTCCTCTGGAACCACTGCTCGATGTGGGCCCTGTCGTACAAAGAACCGTCCACTGTGGCCACGGGGTCTATGATGACGTCCTGGCTGACCGGGCAAATGATGCCTGGGATGGGCGTGAGCCGCACAACGTGGTCCTCCAACGCACTGGCATCAATTCGGAAGTAGCGAGCGGCGCTTTCGCCCCAGTGCCGCCCGAACGTAGCAAAGCGTGGCTCTTCCGACGCCGACGCAAGCGATGAGGGCGCAGCCGGCATGGCCGCTGGGCGGCACGCGCTGTAAACGTCACCCCGAATGTCGGCTTGAGCCAGATGGCGTGGAAAGGCGGAGGCCGAGGCCGCGGCCTAGCTCGGCCTGGCCACGGAAGCGCTCCGCCCGACCGCGCCAAGGAAGCGACGGCGCCGCCGGCACGACGGACGAAGAAGAGTCGCCGCGGCGACCACGGGCAACGGCGTGCAGCCCCAGAGGGAGGTGCAGTGTTCGGAGGGACCAGCTCCGGGGGGAAACCATCGGGGAGACCTAAGACTCGGGCTCGGAAGACTCGGGTCTTGGCTGAAGGGGCCGTCGAGGAAAAACGGCAAGACCCCGTCCGTGAAACTCGACGCGGCCCCCCGCTGCCAACATCCCACGGAAGCTGGCCCGTCAGCACCCGAGACCCCTTCTCGTCAAAAATCGTGGGCAAACCCCGAGGTCTGGCGTGAAACTTGACGCGGCCTCCCGCTTCCAACATCCCACGGAAACTGGCCCGTCAAAACCCGAGACCACTTCTTGTCACCTCCTTGACACTGCCCCTGGCGATCGTTTTCTAATTCCTCCTCCTCCTCCTCCTCCTCCTCCTCCTCCTCCTCCTCCGTTGTTTTGCCGATCGGCGCGGGCCCTCGCACCCCCTCCCCTCCCCTCCCCACCCCACGCAGAGGATCTTGGATGTGTGTTGGCGCCTGTTTCGAGCAAGTTGGAGTCTCCCCTCACAGGACGCTCTGTCGCAAACAGTCGCACTAAGCAGGGGTCCGGAGCCAGACCCCCCCCTGCCCCCCTCTTCGCTCAATGTCGAAACGCCGAAGAAGAAAACGCTCACCTTCTGGCGGCGCACACAAAGGGCGGATAAGAGGGAGGGGGGAAGGCTTCTTAGGAGCAGGGTGCATCTAAGAAGCCTTTCCCCCTCCCCCCCCCTCTGCGCATGGCCGACCCCTCAATGCACAGCTGGCGAAACCAAACGGTACCGATACCGCTGCTCTCCAGACCTCTCCCGGGGTACGTTCTGCCCAAAATTCTTCCGAAACGAATCTGGCGGAGGCGACGAGGGCATCAAGGAGGCCGAAAGAAACGGAATTGGGGCGAGGTCAGCGGTATGGGTACCTCCGGGGGCGGCCAAGACGCGGGCGCCAAAGAGGGGGGGGCGAAAATCACGGCTGGCGGCATGTGCGCGGCCCAGGGGGGGACCAGGGGGAGCGGGTCGGGGGTCTCCTGCAGCCAGCCTCCTCCTCCTCCTCCTCCTCCTCCTCCTCCTCCTCCTCCTCCTCCTCCCCTCCTCCTCCTCCTCCCCCCCCCCGTCTCCGTCTCCGTCTCCGTCTCCGTCTCCTCCTCCTCCTCCTCCTCCTCCTCCTCCTCCTCCTCCTCCTCCTCCTCCTCCTCCTCCTCCCCTCCTCCTCCCTCCTCCTCCTCCTCCTCCTCTCCCTCCTCTCCTCCTCCTCCTCCTCCTCCTCTCCTCCTCCTCCTTCCTCCTCCTCCTCCTCCTCCTCCCCTCCTCCTCCTCCTCCTCCTCCTCCTCCTCCTCCTCCTCCTCCTCCTCCTCCTCCTCCTCCTCCTCCTCCTCCTCCTCCTCCTCCTCCTCCTCCCTCCCCTCCTCCTCCTCCTCCTCCTCCTCCTCCTCCTCCTCCTCCTCTCCTCCTCCTCCTCCTCCTCCTCCTCCTCCTCCTCCTCCTCCTCCTCCTCCTCCTCCTCCTCCTCCTCTCCTCCTCCTCCTCCTCCTCCTCCTCCTCCTCCTCCTCCTCCTCCTCCTCCTCCTCCTCCTCCTCCTCCTCCTCCTCCTCCTCCTCCTCCTCCTCCTCCTCCGCCTCCTCCTCCTCCTCCTCCCCTCCTCCTCCTCCTCCTCCTCCTCCTCCTCCTCCTCCAGACCCGGGTCAGTCAGGCTTTGCAGCATCCTGCGCCCAAGCCCAGGTCAGTGCACCCCTTGCTCTGCAGGATCCTGCAAGACCGTGCAAGACCCGTCGTGTGACACGATACGTGCGACGGCTTGACCTTGCCATGCCAATCGCGTTCGAGGCCGTCTTGAAAATGGGATGCCCATATTCTGTGAGGGAAGCTCTGCGTCCGGCTCTGGGCCTCTAGCAATTCGCGGTGTTCTCTGCGTGGCTCGTGAGACGAAGTCGTCGGCCTGCCTGAAGTTTGGAGGGCTGGTGCAAAACGTGAGGATCTCACGCCAGCCACTCTTTATTCAATGAGGGCACCTTCGTGTTTGAAATCAATGCTGCCATGGTCGACCGGAGAAGGAAACGAGTTCGAATCGTAAGCGTTGTCCAGTCTCTTGTCGATGTCGTCGAGCCTGCAGAACATCTCGGAGAAGCGTGGGAGTAGCAGCTCTTCGAACCCCATGGCTGCAACACGCATTTTGTGACCACGTGCTGGCCAAATTGAAGGCTTCGACTGACCATCTAAGCATAGTGGTGCAGAAGTAGAGCGCTCGAGATCCACCTATGCAAGAGTAATATGTGAATGCTGTGCGGAGGTACGCTGTGCAGGATGGGCGACCAGGTCTCCCTAAGCCCCCAATCGTTTCTCCAACCCTCAACTTCCTTTCGCACGCCCTGGCCATCGAAGCCACCAGAGGGGGGGCAGGATTGGTGCGAGAGAGGGGTGTATGAGGAGGGGAGAAGGACGAAGCAGGATGGCGATCAAGGAAGAAGGATAGAAGAAATCTGCCAAGGAAGGGATGGATGAGACGAGGAGGAGAAATCTCAGACTCGACCTCGCACTTAATGTCTGCTTTCAACGCGCATCCTGCCCAACACCCGGGCCAACACGAGTGTTAAGTGCATCCAACGATGGAGGAGAAGGCGCAGGAGGGGGGATGAAGGAGAAGGGGAGGAGGGGTATGTATTGGAGGCAGAGGAGGGTGAGGAGGGGGAAGAGGGGGGTGAGGAGGAAGAGGGCGGTTCCCTCCTCACCCTCCTCACCACAATCTCCCTCCTCCGCCGCTCTCCTGCGTTCAGCTTCGGATCTCTGCTCATCCGTCCTGCTGCTCCTCCTCCAAAGGGCGGAAAGAGGAAAACAACTCTCGAAGTGGAGCCGCTTTCCCGCGCGCGAGCGCACCCGATCCCGTTGGCCCGCGCACCAGAGACAGGGAGGGGGCCAGGGACGACGGCGGCGACGCGGCGGCGACGCGACGCGACGAGGCGTACAGAGGGAAAGAGAGGGGGGGACGCCTTAGCAAAACCGCTCGGGGACACCGCTGCAAGCAGGATTCCCCGACACAAGCCCTCGTCACCCGAACGAAGGCTTCGGGTTGGAAGGACATTGAGGCTGCAGTGGACGCATATATTTAAGAATACGATTGACATCCATGACGGCGGTACAACGCCAAACAAAATATAAACGGTGTGGCCCGACGCGTCTGGTACTCTCTGGGGCCTCGAGATCCCAGTCGAAGGGCGCGCTTCTAGAGAGGTTTGGGGTGGGGACGGCTTTCGAGGGAAAGTGAGGGAGGGAGGGTGGGAGAGGGGAAGGGAGAGGGGAAATGTTTTGTTTGTTTTGTTGTTATAAGGAAGGGGACGAATATTGCGAAGAAGTTGGGGAGGGAGGGAAGGAGGGATGGAGAAGGGAAGGGAAGTGAGGGGAAGCGGAGGAGGGGGACGTCTGGGCGAACGAAAAGGGAAGGAACAACCAAGGCTGAAATAGCTGTTTTTTTCCGACGCCGGAAGTCGCTGGGAGGCGCCTGGCGGGGGGCCAAAAACGGCTACACGCAGCAGGTCTCGCTGTCGCCTTCGCTCGACACGAGGATGGAGGGGAGCAGGGGGGTGGCCGACGAGGACCCCGCTCGGACCCGCGCTCGAAGAAGGACGAGGATTAAGTCGGGCCTGTCCCTCTACAGGAGGAAAATTCAAAAATTTACAAAAATTCTCTGGGGACGATTTTTTTTTACTATGTTTGTCAATTAAGGGGGTATTGCTTTAGTATTTCTAATTTTTCGTCCAGAATCCCCCTGTGGGGGGACACGCCCGACTTAAGACGAGGATGAATAGGGGGGGAACTGCCTGTTGTGCGCCTGGCCCGGCGGCGACCTGGACCACGGGGACCCGCGGCTTGCCCAGCAAGATCACAGAAAGCCACAGGCACGGCATCAGGCGTGAGCATGGCATAGGCACCAAACAAAGCAACAGACTACGATGCAGAACTTTGGAGGTCTGCGCAAAGGCGATGGGTCGGCGATCGGCGCTGACCCCACTCCCCACACCCCTTCCCTGGGGCGCGCGCGGAGCGAGCTGGAAGAAGGAAGATGCCAAGGAGTGGTGAAGAGGATAGGCCACCACGTGCCAAGCCTTCCCTGACGGCATGTTACCCTACTGCAGGAACGCACGCGTTGTTTCAACTTCGACGGATGCCTGCGGCATACAGGATCTGTGAAAAGGAGGGTTGGGAACACAGACTCGCGGCTCACTTCGCCAGACGGATGTAGGGCCACTTGACGCACTCGTCGTCAATGGCGAAAGCAGTCATGCACAACAGCTCCTTCTTGTCGACCTCCTTCATGACCTCCATGGCCTCCTTGTAGTTGATAACGTTTTCGCCAGGCTCGTTGTACTGAACCTTGGCGTTTGTGAGCGGCTCGCCCTCGTCTCCGAACTCCTTGGAGGGAAACTCCTCGGGGCAGCCACAGCAGTCGCGACAAGAGAACAACATGTTGATGCGATACGAGCTGCAGCGAACAAGCCAACAAGTGTACAATGTAATTACCCCGTCAGGATCCGATCATCGACCCCCTCTATTTCTCCTTCCCTTATGAAAAGAGCGCATTTCTTCATCTTCGGCGATGACGGGCGTCATGGGGGAGGTGGGGGCAGGGGGGGTATGATGTAACGCCCCCCACCGCCGTGCGGTTCCGGCACCCAACCGCGCCCGCGTGCACGACGCGACGAGCGACGAGCGACGAGCGACGACGACAACGCGAGAAGCATGTAGGTGGAGATATGCCCCACTGCGCCTGTGTACACCACAGCGCTCGCGTGCACCACAGCGCGCGTGTCTACCACAACGCCTGCGTACTGTGCAACGCAGCGCCTGTGTACACCAGAATGTGCTTGCGTACGCTACAGC